CGTTCTGGTCGTTCTATGTTTATACGGCTTCGATGTGACGGACATGTTCAGCATGGAGAATATTGGCTTTCGTTGCGGTGTGGTCACGATAGCCCAACTACCGATTATCGTCCTGCTAGCGGGCAAGAATAACATCATCGGATGTCTCAGCGGTGTGAGCTACGAGCGTTTAAATTGGCTACATCGATGGTGCGCTCGATGCATGCTGCTTACGGCCACCATGCACTTGGGGTATTTCCTCAGTGCATGGGCTCCGTACGACTATATCGGCTACCAACTCAAGAATAACGCAATCGTTTGGAAAGGCCTTGCTGCATGGTGTACCCTGGCATGGATTGTGTTCAGTTCCATGACACCGATCCGAGGCTGGAATTACGAGATCTTTGTTATTCAACACATCGTTTCGTTTGCAGTTTTCCTTGCGTTCGTCTACATTCATACCCCTCTCGAGATGAACGGCTATGTCTGGGCTCCTGTTGCCATTTTCCTGTTCGACCGCCTCTTCCGAGCATTGCGACTGCTATACATCAATAGCTCTGTATTTCATCCTGCGTTAAAGAAGAGGGGCCAACTGAATGGCCTATGGGCGTGCAAAGCCGAGTTCACACCTCTCCCTCACAACACCACCCGAATCACTATACCTAACCCACCCATCAGCTGGACTCCTGGTCAACATGTGTTTCTATCATGTCACTCCGTCGTGCCGTTACAAAGCCATCCATTCACCGTGGCTTCGATACCAGCAGATGGGAAGATGGAGTTCTACGTCAAGGCCGAGAAGGGAGGTACCAAGCGTCTCTTCAGACACGCCGAGAAATCCGGCAGTCTATCTGGAGTCCCTGTCAAAGCCAGGACTGTGGCCATAGAAGGCCCATACGGCACCTTAAGACCACTGCGCCAATTCGACAGCGTCGTTCTCCTCGCAGGAAGTACCGGTGGCACTTTCACTCTCCCGCTCCTTCGCGATCTCCTCCAAGGTTGGAAGGAGAATGCTTGTGGCAATACAGGTAGCAGTTCAATCTTCAAAATACCAACAGGTGCGGTGACGCGACACATCCGCTTCGTATGGGTCGTCAAGAGCAGAGGGCAGCTAAGCTGGTTTTCCGAGCAGCTTTCCTCCGTATACACCGAGTTCCGAACGCTACAGGAAACACTCCGGGACATCAAACTCGAAATGAGCGTCTACATCACCTGCGACGAGTCTTTCACAGAAGAGCACAACTCCGTGCTTTCCGGCGTGACGGCACCCAACATGAACACAAAATCACAGAGCGAGCCCCAGCACGGCACTGTGCAATACAGATCGCCCTCACAGGCATCAGAAAAGAAGAGCGAGAAGAAATCGCATAGGCAGGGATACCAAGAAGTAACATCTATCGATTCATCAAGTCTCGATATCCAAGAAGCATGTGGTCCGAACGGCACATGCTGTTGCCGCACTGCGGTTGACGAATCATCCTCAGCTAGTAAAGCAGTGTGCAGCTGTTCGAAACCTACAGCTACCTCGTCTCGACCTGCATCCTTCGCACCTTCCACACCATCCTCTTTCGAGAAGGGCCAAAGAGTCGTCGTGCATCCGTCGATAGCGATATACTCCGGTCGGCCCAAGACGCGGGATATCATACGCAGGTCGTTGGAACAAGCACTAGGAGAGAGTGCGGTGGTGGTATGTGGACCGCAGGGGCTAGTGGCAGATGTGAAGCACGATGTTGTCTCGCTGAGCGATGAGCGCGCAGTACACAAAGGGACGGGAGCGCAGGGTATATATCTGCACACCGAAAGCTTTGGATGGTGATATCTTCACTTCGAATACATTCTTAATCACAACACGTCATCCAAAAGTGCATAATGTGAAGTATGGTAGTAGTAACATTCGTCGCAATAAATAACAGTACAGATGCAACCCGTCTCATCACGGTGCAACGCCTCAAACGCCTATCCAAACCCAACCCACAATATCGCCAAAAAGATGCTAGTATGCGTTCGTGGAAAATGTGCGTAAAACAAAGCGCAGATGCAATGATGATGACAAAGGGAAGAGATGGTAGATGGGACGCGACGCATACGCTCGCTTTCAATCCACAATCCTCAACGCCAGACACCACTCCGTTTGATGGAACAAAGGAAATGGTATTTGCCCGCCCTCCTTTCGTCACGCCAACGCCGTGGAATGTTATGTGTCCAAACACCCCATCAATTACCCTTCGTCGTGTCGTTGTTGTATATGTCGTAATCGTTCCGGGGCTGTCACGCATCGTCCGTCCTACCGGACCATGCGCTTGCTGCGCTGGATGAAAGGAGATGGCATCTCCGGCTCGGTCTCGGGGTCCCATACTGCGGGTGGGCTGATACCGCCAGTTCGCTTGACGGGACTCCTTCGGCCGTTGTATCCGAAGCCCTTCTTCGCGCCTCCCTCGTCTTCACTCATAGTGTGCACAGGGATACCGCGCGCTTGTTGAAGTTCGACTAGTGTGCGGCCCTGAACACCGCCGTTGTTGCGCATCGCTTGGACGCGGAATGCCTCATTGCCCTTCTTTGATGGGAGTCCGGCGAATGGAATGGACTTTGTAGTAGCGCCTGTCTTGCGCGGCGATGTTGATGCGGTGTCGGTGGACTTAGACTTCGTTCGAGAAGGCGACGCAGCGACGATGGGTACGGCGGAAACAGGACGGGGCTTTGTAGTTCTGGGACCCAGGAGATTTGGTGTGCTTCCCAATCGACCGTTGGCCTTTAACAGCGGCGCTTGGGCATTTGCGAGCACTTTGAAGGGGTCCGCACTCATAGGACGACCCCCAGAGGCGCTTCGTGCGCGGGTTGGCGATGGCAGAACAGGAAGATCATCATCGTCGTCGAAGTCGGCGTTCCACTCTGCCTCAGTTGGCGACGGGGGAACGTCAGCTTCCCACTTCTTCGCGCCTTCCTTAGCAGCAGCGAAGATGTTTTGCTTAGGTTGCTGGTTGCGACGAGGGGAAAGCGAGAGTCCCTTGAGTGAGATAGGTGCCGGCGACGGCTCAGCCATCTGCACATCCATGGGAGAGTCGGGTACTTGTGTGGTGGAGGGTTGAGAGAACATTGTGCGGGCGCGGACGAGTGGACCGCGGGACGGTCGCTTTGCCTTTGGCTTAGCTGCGATGGTAACATCTTCGGTGTGGTCGTCCAGGGAGAGTGACGATAGGTCTGTTCCGCTGGCGAAGTCGGAGTCTGTGTTGAGGGTGTTTTGCGAGCCGCTCTTAACGGCACCATCGGACTCTGCTGAGAACAAAGCAGACGTTGGTTCTGTTGCCGCCATAGTCGGCGTATTCGAGCGAGGGGCCAGCTTTGGCGATGTGCTCAGACGGTTGGGGTACATCTTCAGGGCGCGCTCTACCCGCCTGTTCACTTCTCCCTCGAAGGTCGCCTGGAGCTGAGCCAGCTCTTTTTGTACTCGTTGTTCCGTTTGCAGCTTCACTTGTCGCTCAATCTCCAACTGTGCTTTGACTTCCCACTCTCGTCGTAATTGGTCGTCCAACTCTTTGCGTATCCGTGAAATGGCTTCGCTTGCCTCCTTCTCCCGCTTCGCTGTCAGCATACGCTGCTCACGGAGGTCTTGTCCCAGCTTGACGACTTCCTGCTCTTTGCGCATAAGCTTGACAATTGGCAGGTTGAGAAGCGCGGCTGTGTCTGGTCGGTTGTCGGGCGTTGTGTTCAGGCAGCTCGCAATGACCTTTCGTAGTTCCGCCGAGTAGCAGGCCGGTATGTCGGGGTATCGGCCCAGCTTGATCTTCGAGATGAGCTCGAAGTGTGTTTTGGCATTGAAGGGTGGTGACTTTGTGCACATCTCGTATATGATGCACCCGAGCGCCCAGATATCGGAGTGGGGACCATACTGCTCGGCCTTGCAGATCTCAGGCGACATGTAAAACGGCGTGCCGACATAGGTGGAGGCAAAGTCGTGGGATTGGAGGATCTTGGACAGACCGAAGTCGCCCAGCTTGACGCTGTTGTCATCGCCAAGGAAGACTGTGAGTTGTTAGCGCAGAGTCACGCGACGTGGAGATGACCAGATACTGACTGTTCTCGGGCTTGAGGTCTCTGTGGAGAATCATGGGCTTGCGCGGGTCACGGGCAGGCTTCGCGTTGCCAACGAGTCCCATGACGTTGCGGCCTGCCGCAGGTGGGTCTTCGCCGTAGTGGCAGCGGTACAGGGCGCTGACGATTTGGCTGAAGATGCTCCAGACGAACTCCTCCTCGCACACCTGGTTCTTGTTCTTGAGGTCGCGGATGACACGCCCGAGGTCGCCGTTGCCGCAGTACTCCATGTAGAGGTGAAGGTCCTGCGATGCCTTGATGTGGTCGCGCTCGAAGTAGGCGACGATGTTGGGGTGGCGGAGCTCCTTGAGGATGGACAGCTCGGCCTGGAGCTGCTCGCGTTCCTTCTGCGACATCTTGAGATAGCTGATTTCCTTGCGGCACAGGATCTAGGCGGCGGTTAGCACGTCGCGCGCGCAGGCTTCGTCGTCGCTGCTTACATAGCCATCTGACTTCCGCTTGACTTTGCGGATGATACCAAAGGACCCATGGCCTATACAACGTCAGTATGCGTCCTCTTGCGCCTATCGGGGGCGGACCGTACCAATCTTCTCGAGCACATCGTACTTTTCTTCCTCGGGCATGGTGAAGGTATTGCTATTGCTCAAAAGACATGCAACGATTAAGGGTAGGATAGGGTAGCAAGCTGCTGGGTTAGTAGAGCTCGGAGGTAGCGAGGGATGTATGTAATGTACAGTGGGTGGGATGGAAGCCAAGTTTCCTTGGTGTTTGGCCCTGTTTACGCTAACGGCCGTCAACCCAGCAACGCTGCACGCGCCTCACGTGTTGCAGTTGCCAGGCGCACGCACCCCTGTCACTGCCCTTATCGATAGTCACGCCGATCTCCGCCGCCACTCGTCATCGCAGAGCAATAGTCACTTTCACCTCCACCATGTCGCCGTTACTGAGGACCTCTCCTTCTTGCCACAGCCATGGACGTCAAGAAGAAGTACGAGATCGAGGCGGCCCTCGCGACCGAAGCCCAGGCGATCTCCTCGGGCCAGCTCAAGGAAGAGAATCCGCTGGACACGAGCGAGGATTTCAGGGTCTTCTGTGAAGCATGCCGGCGGGGCGACTTGAAGGTTTGCCAGGAAATGATATCGACCGGGGTAAACATCAACGCAAGAGACAGGTTTGATTACACCCCACTTATCTTAGTAAGACAATCTCCGATTTCAAATCTAAACAATTCGCTATTCAATCCAGAGCGCTGACCGCTGAAGGCCAGTCTATGCGGTCACTACGAAGTCATACGCCTGCTGCTCGAAAACGGTGCACTCTGCGAACGCGACACGTTCCAGGGCGAGAGATGTCTATACAATGCGCTCAACGACCGTATACGTAACCTACTGCTATCCTACGACTATGCGAAATCCTCGAATCCCTTACAACCGCTGGCAGCGCATATTACTTCGCTCCTCACGCGACCTTCGCCCAAGACGACAGACATTACCATCATAGCCTTCGACCAAGAGTTCCACCTCCACAAATTCCTCCTCGCCGCACGATCGCCCTACTTTGCGAAGAAGCTCGAGACAGCGCCGAATACAGCGTCATGGAAACTACCCAATACTATACCCGCCGAGTCGCTAGGTGTGGCGTTGCAGTATTTGTACTTCCAGGAAGTCTCAATACGGAGAGCGTTACATGGGCTGAGTGACGAGCAGGAGCTGGTTGTGCTAAAAGGCATAGATAAGATTGGCAAGCAGCTGGAGATAGAACGCCTGTTTGAAGATATAACAGAAGTCTCGGATCGAAGATTATTGCGCCAGCGAAGAGCAGAGGAATTGGAACGCGGCAGAGATCAGCTAGAGGGCTGGTTCAAGAACAACGTCCTCCGGCATAAAAGAGTCGTAGACACTGCAAAAGTGGACAGCATACAATGGGACCGGGAAAACTCCATCTTTGCCGATATATTACTGCGCGCCGATGATGATGATGATGAGGACCAAGACTCCGATGGGACAGATCAGTCACCAGGGCCATCGGAGTCATCTACGCCACCTGTGCGAAACGCACCGGGGCCTCTTCTAGGCATACCAGTCGGATCGGGTCGCTCACGCTCGAGGTCGCCCTCTCGCCAAAGAGCATCCCGTAAATCGACTATATTCCCTGCGCATCGAGCCATGCTATTGCGCTCCGAGTACTTCCTGACCATGTTCAGCTCGCAGTTCAAAGAGGCACAAGATACGCCGCATCTGCAGATTGTAACTATTGACTGCTCGCCAGCAGTTCTGGAAACCATCCTTACCTTCATGTACACCGAGCGCGCCGATTTTGGTTTGGACATTGCCATCGACGTGCTCTTTGCTGCAGACCAGCTCTTTATCGAGAAGCTCAAGCAGCGCGCCGCCATCATCATCTCTGCGCTAGGCAATGGCGCAACCTCAGCGGTGGAGTCAGACAACCCACGGGGAGCTACAGATGCCGATGAAGCCGTGGATATTTACGAAGTCATCCGAGCCGGGTGGGATACAAGGGTACAACGCCTAGAAGAATTTGCTGCGCGGTACATCGCCTACCGATTGGAACAATACATCGACCAACCCGAATTTGCTGAGCTGGTCCAAGAATCTGCGAATCGCGTCAAGGCACGTCAGGAGACTGACACTGTCGAACTTGTCGATGATATTCGCTACTACCTGTCGGAACGATTCAGGCTTCGCTTTGAAGACAGCGGGCTAGATGAGATGATGGATGAGAACGCAGCCATGCAAGCTAGTAACGAGGGAGATCTTGTTGATGCAATGGGCGATCTCGCACTAGAAGACGGCGTACCCGACAGTGTACAGCAGGACGAAAATATCGCGGCGGTCGAACAGCAGATTGCTGCTGGTGTCATCAGGAATTTGGATGGCGAGGAGGTTGGTGACGAATTTGCTCAGGACGCGATGAATTATCAGATCTTGCTGGGAAAGATAGACACATTGCTAGAGAAGCTGAACTTGGATGCTTAGATAGCGAATCTACTGAAGCTCTGAAGATCTGACAACTACATCCGGGGTATTCTGATAGGAGGTTGTGCATGTGCTGAGGAAAATCCGGACACCTCGCCGTGGAATCTAGCACGTGGCGTGGTCCGGGTAATTGCTTAGCGAATCTTGGAAGCAGCCTACATTGTCAGATACGCTCCATACATACGATGTTTTTCTACATGCAACTTGCCCGGTCTCAATTCCAACATACTGACCAGTAAATTTCCTTGACTTTCCGCTCTTCTACTTCAACCACCCCGACTCCCCATCCAAGAAACCAGAGGAAAAATAGACATGGGGACCCAAATCCGCGAGGACCTCTTATACCGACTACGCTGGAACCTGCTAGCCCCTCTACAAGACATCGAATTCACGATAGGACCCAAAAACGAAGAAACACTCGTCCCACTATTCGATCATCCTTGCGCGAACACACCTCTCTCCGTACCCAGTCGACATCGTCTCGAGGTGCTCAGCGAGGATATTTGGACATCACACGAGGGCTGGCATCATGGCGACGACAGCCCTGAGCCAGACTGCGCGTGTAAGCCTCCGCCCAATCTCGTCATCGAAAACGCAGATGGGAGACCCATCACGCTGGGGCATTTTGTCACGCAGGCACATCCGTATTTGAATGAGCATATGGGCAAGATTAAGAGGGCTTTGACTTTGTTTCAGAAGGACCTTCCTGAAGAAAAGACTTTTCTCTTTAAGCGCGCGTGGAATTTCAATACTAAATTGAGGGTTTTTCTGATGCTTAAAAGGGATGCGGAGTATATGGAGGAGCATTGGGCTACGCAATTGGACTTTGCGCGTCGATATGAAGATGGGAGATTTGGTGATGTTTGTGGTGCTACGAGTGGACGCGATGCTTGATGATTTTGGTCGAGTCCCGCGATTTCAAAGTGTTTTGTGGTATGCATTGTCTCGCACCTACCTGCACTCGAGGAAAACTGCGGTCGCTGGGCGGTACATGGAGTGTGCGATCGCGCGAAGCCACGTTGTTCGTGGCTCCGGTGTGGCGCTACCTTCTGTTAGTAGAAAGGCACTTGAGCAGTCCATACTGAGAGCGTCTAGTTTCGATGTGATAGTAGACGGTTCTGGAAGAAGGCTACTATCCTAGTCCCTGTTACACCTAGGTACTGTGTTTACTTCATCATTGCTATTGGTGACATCATGGTGGGGTAGCCGCGGTGCTCAGTTCCCCACCCAACCGTCGTTGACAGCTTGACAAATACCTTAGCAGCTCATAATGCGCGTCATTGCTCGAACAACTTCACTCCTTCAATCTCCAATTGCTCGACTTTCACCTCAAAGGTTACGGAGAGTTTCAATCGCGGCACCACGATCCTTTACACTTCGTCAGACAGCACTTCTACGTAAACAAGGGCTATTCGCCATATCCAAACAACAGACCGCAACGATGTCGACGGAATCCACACAGTCGCAGGCATGCTGCAACACACCCGCTGTAGTCAGCGAGGGATACCAACCAAAGGGCGATTACATTGAGGCAGACGGACTGAAGACTTGTACGTTCCAGCACCAAGACATCACCAGGGACCGCAATTGACTTCCAACAGATCAAACCGGCCCCAAGGACGCAAAGCAAGGAATCCTAGTCGTCTACGACATCTTCGGATTCTTCAACCAAACACTCCAAGGTGCTGATATCTTGGCTTACACCGACAGCCAGAAGTACCAGGTCTTCATGCCCGACTTCTTCGACGGCAAGCCAGCCGACATCTCCTGGATGCCCCCGGACACCAAGGAGAAGGAGCAGAAGATGGGCGAGTTCTTCCAGTCGCAGGCTGCGCCACCAAAGACTTTGCCGCGCATCCCGAAGATTGTCGATGAACTTACCCAGAAGTACGGGATTGAGAAGTGGGCTATCATCGGCTTCTGCTGGGGCGGAAAGGTATGGAAGAGCTAGCCATGTTACCTCCAACGTTTTCCTAACACTGTACAGATTGTCAACTTGTCTTCCATGGAAGGCACAAAGTTCAAGGTCGCGGCAGCATGCCACCCCGCCATGGTTGCCGGCGATGACGCGCCCGGCATCAAGATCCCATACATCATGCTTCCGTCAGGCGACGAATCAAAGGATGACGTCAAGAAGTGGCAGGAGGGCATCAAGGTTCCTCACGTGGTTGAGTGGTTCCCAGACCAGATCCACGGCTGGATGGCGGCGCGCAGTGACCTTTCCCAGGAGAAGGTTAGGAAGGAGTACGAGCGCGGATACAAGATGGTGTTGGATTTCTTCCACAAGCACATGTGAGTTTAATGGAAGAGCTGAGGTGATGTAGGTAGAATGCTCATTCCGCTAGGGGTTCTGAGGCGAAGCTCTAGTATGAATACCGGTAATGTCGATACGAAACAATATAACGTAGGACAGAAGAGCTTTTCTTCCAAGACTGTGACTGTGAGTGTGTGTTAGCAGCCTTGAGTTTCCTAAATATAGGCATGGCTGAGCCAGCTATCCTATGCCCAGGCGGATCGACCATCACCAACTATCTAATCCATGGCCAATGTGGAAAAGGTCCGAAGTCATTGCAACAAAGTTGGAAGAGTAGAGTTACGGGTAGGTGTGGGGCTCAACACGTGGGGTTAGGTACTCTGGGGCCGCCAGCCGCGTGCATTGGCGTAGAACGGCGGTTGGGAGACCGAGGGCATGTCGGCAATTGATCACGTTGCGGATGGCCATGTCGCAGGTTATCTAGAAGCATTGGGCAGACTTCGGCGCATTTTTGTCGCGACATTTACCTTCATTATTTCTCTGCCCATCTTTCACGTACATTCTTCGTTCGTAGTTACACAAGAAAGATCTTATCATGGCTCTTCCGATCGGTGCGTGTTCCTATCTCGTGTAGCGGCCGTGGCGCGCTTGTCGTCCCATCCAGCTCCCGACCATCTCTACACGACGCTTATCGTACATGTTAGCTAACAAAGCTATGAAGCACCTCAAGCTGTAGCAGGCGCAATCGCAGGCGTTACTGCCGCTGCAGCCTACATCGACGCCAAATACCACATCACCAAAGACCTCAAGGGCCAACGCGTCCTGAAAGCTGCCGCGCGCGATCTCGAGAAGAATGGTAAGCCGAAGCTGCGTATGCCCTACCCACCACTCCCTAACAAGACAACAGCACAAGGCAGAGGCCAATCTCTGTGGTACCAATTCGAAGCCCAAGTCCACCGCCTGCCCTCGACCGAAGAATGCATCTGGTCCCGAACCGGCTGCTACACCTGGGCCGAAACCTACGCGAACGCCTGCCGATACGGCCAATACCTCCGCCAGAATGGCGTCGTTCCCGGGCAGCTCTTTGCCATGTACATGATGAACCGGCCGGAGTTCCTCTTTGCACATCTAGGTAGCTGGAGCATAGGAAGCGCGCCGGCGTGGATCAACTACAACCTTGCAGGCGATGCGCTGGTGCATTGCTTGAAAATCAGCGGCGCCAAGGTGCTGCTTGTGGATGAAGACCAGGAGTGCAGAGACCGCATCGAGGCGGTTAGGGAGAGATTGGAGAGCGAATTGGGCATGACTGTACTGGTCTTGGACACCGGGTTGAAGGGAGAGATATCGAGGTTGGAACCTACTAGGCCTGAGGATGAGCTTAGGGTGGGTATGAAGGGGAAGTTCCCGCTCTTCCTGTTCTACACAAGGTGAGTTACCGCGATGGCTTTTGCGAAGAGGATGATGCTAACTAGAACAGTGGCACAACCGGACACCCGAAAGCTTGCCCCTTCGAGACGCAAAGAGCAGTCGGCTTGACACAACGTGTGGGTGCTATGGGACTGAAGACAGGACCCAACGGCGACAGGTGGTATGTTTGCATGCCGCTATACCACGGCACTGGAGGCACGACGGCACTCGTCTGCATGGTCACCGGCCTTACATGCTGTATCGGCACCAAGTTCTCTACATCGAAATTCTGGACCGACGTACGCGATTCGAGATCCACCGCCATGGTCTACGTAGGAGAGACAGCTCGTTACCTTCTCAACGCCCCTCCTAGCGACCTCGACCGGAAACACAACGTTAGAGCCATGTTCGGCAATGGTCTTCGTCCCGACGTATGGCAGCGCTTTGTCGATCGCTTCGGCATCGAGATCGTCGGCGAGTTCTTCAACAGCACAGAAGGCGTCATGGCGCTTTTCAATGGCTCGCGTGGGCCTTTCACAGCAACTTCAGTTGGACACCAGGGTCTCATCGAGCGCTGGCGCTCCCACAACACATACGTCCCAGTCGAGATCGATTTCGTAAGCGGAGACCTCTTGCGCGATCCCAAGACTGGCTTCTGCAAACGCAAGTCCTACGAGGAGGGCAGTGAGATCCTCGTACAGATGCCGAGCGAGCAAGCCTTTGTCGGCTACTGGAACAACCCCGATGCTACCGAGAAACGCTTCGAACGCAATGTTTTCAGGAAGGGCGACCTGTATTACCGTACAGGCGACGCTCTCCGTCGCGACGCGGACGGCCGCTGGTTCTTCATGGACCGCCTCGGCGACACCTTCCGCTGGAAGTCGGAGAACGTGAGCACAGCCGAAGTCAGCGAAGCACTTGGTTCTTTCCCCGGAATTCAAGAAGCAAACGTCTATGGTGTCGAAGTGCCTGGCTACGACGGCCGCGCAGGATGTGCAGCCATCTACATCGACCCCGCACATCTCGACTCATTCAACTTCAACGCGCTACTTGCGCACGCGAAGGAGAAGCTGCCGAAATACGCAGTGCCTGTTTTCTTGAGGATACAGAAACAGCAAACTACGATGCACAACAACAAGCAGAACAAAGTTCCGCTGAGGAATGATGGTATCGATCTGAGGAAGCTTATGGAGAGGGCGGATAAAGAGGCGAGGGAGCAAGGAAAGGAAGAGGCGGAATACGATACCATGTACTGGCACCCGACTGCTCTTGGGTCTGGAAAAGGCAAGAGTGGCGGTGATGATGGATATGTTGTATTCACCATGGCGGATTGGGATTTGCTGAAGGGAAGTGTAGATGTAGAGGGTGGTGCCAAGCTGTAAGGTTCCCCAGTATATAATTGCTTTTAGTCTGTAAATCGTAGCGTCTTCGTTCTGTAATAAACATCATGTCTGCGAACACGCGTGAGCCATGACTGGGTTTGTTTGTGACACTGTCGCGTCTTCATTGTCGTTTCACTTCTCTTCCATCAACGTAGGCTCGAACTTCTCCTTCCTGGCCTGCACAGCACCAGAGGCCTTCCACGCAGACAGAATCAAGTCCACAATAGCATCCACACCTTGGTCCCTCTTGACGACCGCAAAGATAGTCGGTCCACCCTCACGCATCCTCCTGCTATCCCGCTCCATAACACCCAGATCCGCACCGACCGCCTCGGCAAGATCGATCTTGTTGACGACCAGCAGGTCTGATTGCGTGATACCCGGACCACCCTTCCTGGGGATCTTATCACCACCCGAGACATCGATAACGTAGATGATGAAGTCAGCGAGTTCGCGCGAGTAGTTGGCAGCGAGATTGTCGCCGCCGGACTCGATGAGCAGGAGGTCCGTGTTGAACTTTTGGTGCAAGTTGGTGAGCGTCATGAGGTTGACGGAGATGTCTTCGCGGACAGCGGCATGGGGACAGCCTCCCGTTTCGACAGCGACGATGCGCTCACTATACTCGTGTCAAACATGCCCCGGCAATGTGCGTATTGTGGCTGCTCTTACGCGGGCAAGGCGTTGTTCTTGGTGAGGAACTCGCAGTCTTCTCGCGTGAAGATGTCGTTTGTTACCGCGGCTATAGAGAAGCGCGTTCGGAGATGTTTGCAGAGGGCTAGCATGAGGGCTGTCTTGCCCGAGCCTACTGGTCTAGGCTGGTCAGTATCATGAGAATATAGTACATCTTGCCATGCCAACCCTGCATCATGTCGGCCGAGCAGTATATTGACATTTACGTGTCACACGGGGTCCATCGTACCCTCCAATTCCGATAGTGAAGGACCGGTCTTCCCAGTCTCTTCCCTCGATGATGGGCAGCTCGCGGCCCAGGTAGCTCCCCGGCCCATCGAGGATCTCATGCGTGTGGCCGTGATCCGCAGCCTCGTGCGAATGCGAATGCGACGCGCCTTCGTGTGAGTGGCCGGTAGACATTGTTGTAAGATGTAGTATGACTATCAATCAACAGAGGAAGCCAGCAAGCAGGAATGAAGCTCGAGGATCTCCATGGTGGGGCACGACACGACGAGAGACGTGGGGTTCAATCCGGCGCAACCCTGGTAGCGAAGCTTCACTCAATAACACCGGCGATAGGCTGACAGGCGACGACACGCCGCTCGCATGAACAACACTCACGACCATATCAAAGGCCAATTCAATGCGGCGGTGATTGTCATTACCGTAGCGTGCCACGACTCGAATAAGGCGTCCTTAATCGGAGGATACGGGAGTGCTCGGACCATGGCGCGAGGGATCATTGCTGCTGCCCCTGCATCTTCATCACGATCCTCGGCACCCGCGATATGATTACCAGCTATAGTTCCCTTCTCTGAATTTCACGGACCAGCATGTTCCCACATGGACCTGTCGTTCCTGGTCGGCGGCGCATAGCAGCTTGCGTACCATTGGGAAAGGAGAATGAGGTGCCGGAGCAATCTTTCGCTTCTTCAATCCTTCAATATCGCCCAGACCCGCCACACAGCCACGGCAATGGATATGCAGTTAATTTCCACGCCTGCGAGCCTCCCTATGCGGTGGCCCTGGTACCTGCAGGTGACATGACGCAGGACTTCGCAGCTCTATGTAAAGCCAGCGCACCACCCGCAAGCTTGTGGACCCTGTTTTCTCAATGCCCTTGCGTTTTCAGGTTTCTGCGTCTTAATCGAGATCGTGCGGTTTGGAGATATTTCCCCATACGGTAGACCTCTTCCTGCTTTAAGGATAGTTGTTCCCTTCTGAAACTCACCTTCATCGCTCGCCTGCTTTCCCCGCTTCCTCTTGTTTGTTTGTTTTTGCGATTCTATACGCGTATTTTTCTGGTGTAATGTCTAACATGGCTGTCTCGTGGGAGAAATCGACACATGGGTCTCTTACGCTATGGGACATCGATCGCGAATTCCAAGATGCGCATGAAGCGTACGAGCAGTGGCAGGCGCGGCATCGTCGCACGCGTTCCAAATGGTTGTGTCTCGGCACGAAGAACCGTGACGATGCTGTTGGCAAAGCTCTGCGCCTAGGGGGACAGATTCAAAGGATCATGGAGCAAGGAAAAGCAAGATTTGGGGCACGATTCGAGGAAGGCGACAGTAAGTCTGCGGTTCAATACCGAGATTATAAAGACTGACCATGAGTAGCAAAATGCAACACCATCCTCTCAGCGCAACTCCTACGGATCCAATACGAAATCAGACAACCACTTTACGACAGCGTTTTCTCTTCGACACCAACGATACCCATTGACGACATAATTACGACCGCCAAAAGCGTCCGTCGCGCCTGCCTCACTGCCCTGCGCGAACAATACGCACGTCTCGAATCGCCAATCCTATCGCCCGTTCTGCCTCCTCCACGTTTCAAAGTAGAGTTCTGTCCATTCGCAGACAACCTGCGGAAAGATCTCAAAGAGTCCAAATCGAGCACACTACGCGCCAAGAAAGCTTTCCCACACGACAAACACGACGACCGCGAAATATGCCCGCACTGTGATGCATGCATCTCCGTGGCCGCACACTCTGGACTACCCGCATCCAGATGTATACTCTTCACCTCGCACATTGCGCTCGACACAATGGCGACAAACGACAAAGCGACCTTTGCATGCAACAGCTGCTACAAGACTTTTGATGATTCCTACGCCTTCCTCGATCATTACTTCCAGAAGCAAATCGGGAGTGAGAGGAGTTGCTTGCGGCTGTCCGTACAGAGGAGCTCGAGCTGGTTCTTGAACGAGCAGTTCCTTGATAGCGACCCCTCGATTGTTGAGCAGTGCCTCAAGAATTGCATGGCGAGAGAGACTATGCGAGGTAGAGGCCATAAGAAGATGAAGAGCCAGATTACCATACGACAAGTACATTCAAGCGGGAACGATTGAAGTTTTCCCAACCGGAGACGATAGCACGACCACATATCACGCCACCACTGGCAAGAGCAAAACGACGAAGCAAAGCAACATTCGTCAGCATTACACGATCAGTTGTATACGAATGCGTCATTTCGTATCGCCAACATCCAATCGAGTCGCAATGCGACAACAGAGACCTTACACATACCGTCTCACGACCCGCACACAAGTTCCGCTCCAAAGCCAAAGCTTTGGTATGAACGCGGACGGAACGCCGCATTCTCCGCCTCTTCCTCTTCTTGTACCATGCATACTTTTTTCTGTACACATACGTTTACTCTTATGTCTAATGCCCTAATGTCTTTGTCAAGGAATTCTAGATCGTAGCAGAGTACGTCACGAGCACGATAAATACGAACACGAATCTACAGTTGCGCATCAAAACCCCAACGCAAGCTCAGCTCAATGAATACAAATACTTTCTTAAGCATATACACACGATCAGCGTACCATTCCTATGTATCCAGCGCTTCTTCACACCGCGCGCCGCACCCTCACATAACACAGCGACGATCACAACCGTCGCATAAACAGCGCAAGCCGTGCTACCCGCATGCCCAGACACACGTCAGATGGGCATCCCGGTTTCACATTGGCAACGAACGCAAACGCAGCTCGCAGAAGGAAAGGGAAAAGGACCGAGAAAGATAGCTTCATCTCCTCGGCCCTTTTTCCGCGCGGAACTTTCCCTCGAGCATCTTGCTCATCACCTAACTTCCAAGCAATCGGTCTGATATCGCCAGACTGCAGTATGGGGACCTGTACAATGATCGCAACTCTACCCGAGTGAGCTGACGATCTACTAACTGCGACACTCATCACCCAGGCTGTCCGTTCCCAAGAATTGGGAATCGGGGGATGGGCAGGACATACGCGCCACACCCACAGAACTCTATCCTAGCTACCTAAGACTACTATCAAGCCGACCTACCCGTCTTGTATCCGGCCACTTCTTTCCTTTGCCTTTGCCTTACTGCACATACACATCTACTCAGCGTCGTAAAGCGAACGCGCCAGCGACGCGCAACCACATGAAACCACATCTGTCCGTGGGTCACTCACTCGGCGAAACCCCACCGTAATACGTCTTGGCTTTCTTACGTATGGATGCGCGTGGGTACGAGATTATTCCGCTCATCACGAGAGGATTATCACGAACGACTGCTTGGGGTTCTTGGTGCATTGCGTATTGGTGTTGGCCTGGGCGGTTGTGATGGGGATACCTGGTTTGTGTGTAGGGTTGGTTGGGGGTATGAGTTACTAAACACGAGGAACGCGCGGGTTTACTCGCTGATGGGAAAGATGATGTAGACAAAGAGTAGGCTTATATTAAGAAATTCATAGCTCATCACCCCTCACAAGACCGTCAATGTCACTCCCCAAACACGTGCTCTGTTTACACCCTCCAACATTCCACCACCGCCCTTGCTTTTCCCACCCCTTCCTTCTTCCCCAACCCCAAGCCCGAGCGGAGCCCCATAGCGCAAACAGCGTATCCAGCGTATCCGCGGCGGAACCTGGGCGGTATTGGCACAAGTCTTGGACGGCAAGTCTGCCGCAAGAAGAAGTCTACGTTGCGGTGAGCAGATAACGTGTCGAAACACATGCAGCGGAATGGGCGGAGCGGCGGTAAGCATTGGGCTGTTAACATGCTCAATCCCCATGTGTGGCTTGCAATTAGATTGGATCGGGCGGTCGGGGCAACTGGATTTCCGCTCTCTGGGTGCCATGCGTCTTGGACGCGTGTGGCGTTGCTCGAAGCATTGGAGGGGCCGAGGGGCTGAGTACGGGTGAGTTTGCGCCTGGACTCCTTGGTAAGGCGTGGGTAGTGGCTTGGAAGCGCGGGTAACCTGCTTGGAAATGCAACGGTGTAAAGTGTTTCGTACGAGGTACACTGTCAATTGCGAGTAACATGTGCGAGAGACGTTATGGGTGTTGTAGA